TACAGTAAAAAATCCGAAATTATATTAACAAAACTAATAAATATCGTCAGTTATTTCATTATGGAGTGATAGAATTCAAATCATTTAGTAGTTTTCTTCCTCTTCATAGATTCCATTGGAGTTTCTCGGTGAATTGACCAACAGAAATCAGCAAGCATTGCTGCATTATATCCGAATGAAACCTTTTACCATGCTCATCTGATACAGCTCCAAGATTTTCAGGAAAGAAATCTAAATGCGAGTCTAAAAAATGGATCTTGAGTGACATATTGGATCCTAAAGCTTTATAAGCAGAAAGTAGCTCCCAAATGATTTGTTGATAGTTGTCACTTTTTGCGTTCCCAAGAAAATTATGACACACCTCCACAAACGCTACCCAAGCTCTTTTTTCTGCTTTGCTCAACTTCGAATCAAAAACCTCATCCTTCATGAGCTCACGTATCTGCGGACCTACAAAAATTCCTTCCTTCAATTTCGCGTCACTGATTCGAGGAAATTTTGTTTTTAAGTATTGAAAAAGTGCACCATCTTTATTCATAGCTTTCACAAAGTTTCTCGCATGGCACTAACGGTTTATGAGAAACATTTTTAAGTCCAGGAGTCAAACTTTTTCTTAATGCCAGGTTTTTACTTTGTAATGTTTGTCTCTTGCGCCGCTATCCCACTCACAAAAAAAAAACAGCAAAATTTTGTGTATCCTCCTTGTAGTCCAGTCAGTATAGCGACAACTTTTAAATCAGCACAAATATTCCATAGGTATTGAGAATATTTAATTTTCTCAAGTAATACCTCAAGGTTTGCGTAATTTTCTTTCATGCTTGTAGCATGTGCAATTGCAATATTGCCATTATGAAGTAGAACGGCTTTCAAGCTTATTTTTGAAGCGTCAATAAAAAGTCTCCATTCACTAGAATCTTCTGGAAAACTTAGTTCTTGAAGAAGCCCTACAGCATCATTACAATATACCAAATCATCTTCTTTGGAGAAGTAACTTGTAAAACTTTCTTGCCTCGTACGAAAATATGAAACTCTGGTATTTTTAGCCAATAGATTCCACTGTTTTAACCTTGATCCGAGTAACTGTGCTTTAGATTTTGAAAGTCCCAAGTCTCTAACAAGATCATTGTTCAAGTAAATGAGGTTCTGTAGATGGACATGAAGATCCAGATAAAGTGTATGAAGATGAAGATGTACTATCAGAAAGAAAACTCGATTGAGATTGTAGACCTGAAATATTTTTATTTTCAGCCTTCTCATTAACTGGTGGAACTGGAGGTGGAGTGTCTTTATCACGAGGAATTGGTCTCTTTGCAGATAGGACGTTCGGATAAACAGTCTTATCTCTATTTTTTTTTCGAGAATCCTCGTGTAAATGTCATACAGAAATCATTCTCATGATTTTGATGATCACTCCAAATCATTGGCATTGACATGGATTTGTGACTTTCTTCAAGCCAACCTCTCAACGTTCTTGAGCAGCTATTGCAGCATACTTTTGGCAACCAACTTTTATCTCGCTCATCGATAGAAATTCCAAAATATAGCTTATAAGCTGTTTTAACCAGATCGGTCATGACATGTCGCTGTGGTTTTAGTATGTATTCCCCACAAATATAGCAAAAACAATCTGAGGAATTTTTACAAGTCCGTGGCATTTTGTAACCTAAAATCACATAAACTTTATTTTAAAACAACTTTCAAACTTATATTTTATATTTATTGGCTCTACTTTAAAAAATACTCAAACTACACATGAAATACTTAAATCCAATGTAGAGAACATGAACTTTATGCAAAACTTACCAAAATATTTGATATAAAAGGTAAACAATTAAACGACAAGTTTTCACTGAACTGTTGTAGTGTCACAATCAATACTGCGCATGCGCGTATTTACTACCATAAAATTCACCTTCGGCATTTCCCTCCTTTCTCTTACAACTCTCTGAAACTCATTTTGTATGTATATTTACTTTTTGTAACGTTCACGAATGAAAAAAAAACAAAATTTTGAAATATAAAAAAAAATCATATCGAAAAATCTAGACGTGATAGAAAAAATCGGCCAACGGGGATAGATTCAAAGCGTTTGAATCATTATATTTATCATAAAAAAATTTAAAGGAGGATTTCATTGCCAACCAGTGTAATTTAATTTAATTTAATGTTATGACCAACTTGGTAACGGAAATTAGTAGATGCTCTTCTCGAGACAGACGCGAAAAGCACGTATGTCAAATTTAAATTATGCTGCACATATTTCAAACTAATCGCTTAAAAGGAAAATCGTTTAATATTTAATCACTACAAAACATACCGACAGCGATAAAACCTCACTTATCTGAAAAATGATCCCTCGCCAGGACAATTTCCGGGCAACGTCAAATTGGATTCGATGGAAGTTTGTGGTATGAAAATTTCCGACGTGCCCTTTTTATATTTTCCAATTGGTTGATTTTCCAAGGGGTTATTGGTGAAGAAAAGGTTCAGACCTTAACCTAAATCAGTAGAACTTCGCTCTAAAAATAACCGTCGATATCTAGGAACATCTCTTTATTTCGACAAATCACAAACTTTCTTTATTGGCTGGCTACACCTTTACCGGCATTATTATCCCAGACAATGGCCAGTTTTTATTAGTATTTGCAAATAAGAAATGGTATATTATGCAACAATTTTGCATGTGACATGTCCGAATTGACGAACGTCAACATTCAAGCAAACGAAACTAAGGTCCTATTTTAGAGAACGGAGTAGAAGATGTACTTGTGCTACAAGATTAATTATGGAGACTCTCAAATCGAATAGTATGCGAAAACCTATGCGTTGAAGACTCGATGAGTTCAGTAAAGAATGGGACTCGATGAAATGCACCGCTTGGCGCCCGCTCTCTCCTTAAAAGGTCAGATTCGTCACCCATAGTGGAATATTCCTGTTTTGTTTGTGTGGAGTTTTTACTTACGGGTTGTATCTTGACTTGTGTCATTTCTCATGGTCACATCACATAAAACAAACTCGTGTTTAAAGTGTCATTATCAAACATCTTGCACTTGCTTATAATGGATATTCGGCCTTTGGTAGTAAATCAAATAATAAAATAACTTGTAAGAGACTTAGCCTAACTCAGTAAAAGACACAACAGATAATCTTTACTAATAGAAACCATAACTATATTAATAGTTTTAAGATATGTCACTTTCATTTAATATGGAAAAACCATGTGAACAAGTTATGTAATAGAGTCACCAACGATATATTTTTAATTAAGTCAATGGAGGACCTCGTGCCTGATTCTGCGCTAATGGTAGTTTTTCTTTTCCAAATGCTCCTATGGTCTCCCAATTTAGAGTCATTCTGCTTAAATTATATAAAGTATTCTCGCTGCAGAGAAGATTGGTGGTAGGTAGTATTGTCAAATACACCGATCATGTAAAATCATATTTGATTAAATTGTATATTATGACATTGCCAAGTTTGTTGAGTCTTATTAGAAAAGTTTTTGTCTCGTCACCAGTATAACTAACGATTATAATACGTGTGGTAAAAATGATATAAAATTAGCATTTATTGGACTGGGCCACAAAGATTTTTATTACTAATATGGACCTCCCTTGTTTAATAAACTACCAATTTAATGAAAACATCTAAATATAAATATCTGTATAGGCAACCTAAAGAAATTTCTATTGGAAAGAGTATTTTTTTTTTACTCCCCTCTGTAAAATACCTAATTACACACCGATCTAGCGTGCGGGAAGGGTCACTTTAATACATCAGTTTCGTTTCCCACAGATCCGAGCCACTTCAGACATTTCCGAGATTTGACCGCAAGGGTTTGGGAGCAATCGGATGTTTTTGGAGATATTTCCCACGCCTTGAATTTTGACGTTTTATCAATTTTGACGCTCATATCAGTGCATGTATTCTTGCTGTTTTGCGAAAATGTACTCAAAAACTAACGGCCGTAGAAAAGCGGTAAACGGCATTTGACTCACGAGTTTATTTGACACGAACGGAGCGAGTGTTTAATAAACGAGTGACTTAAAAACTTTACCGAACGTGTTGCATACTATACTTTTTATACGACCGTTAGTTTTTGGGTACATTTTCGCAACACAAGACGAATACATTCACTGACTTGACCCTCAGAACTGACAAACGTCAAAATTCAAAGAGTGGGAAATATGTCCGAAAACATCCGATTGTTCCCAAACCCGTGCGGTAAAATCCCGGAAATGTCCGAAATGGCTCGGATCCGTGGGAAACGAAACTGACGTGGTAAAGTGATGCAACCCGCACGCTAGATCAGTGTGTAATTATGTATTTTACAGACGGGAGTAGAAAACCTTTTTAAGTCACTGGCTTATTAAACACTCGCTTCGCTCGTGTTAAATAAATTCGTGAGTCAAATGCCGTTTACTGCACTTGTTGCATAATATACTATTGCACCGTATAAAGCAAAATTCTGTTGCCATCTTGCCAACAACACATTATATGGAAAGAAGACCAGAAAAGTCATTGATAGATTGCTTGAACTTGTTTTAACAACCTAATGTATTTTTTTATTTAAAACTGAAAGCTGCCTATTTAATAAGTTTAAATCGTAAAAAGCGCAAAAAGCAAAACAGAATATCAAAATCAAATGTCAAAACACTGACGGTAATTTCAAATCCGATATACTGAAGTTTTTACGTATTATAGGAAAATGGTGTTATGCTAATTAATACTTCTAAAAAGGAAGTTTAAGTGTGTTATTAACCGCCACACCTCCGCCGCCGCACTGAGAGACTAGGATATTAAATATTATTATATTATATATTATTTTTACATTATATTATATATTAGTACTGACTTTATAAAGTATAATGTGGCATCTTCGTAGAAGGTTTCGAAACATATTGGTAAAAATAAACTACTGACTGGATCATCTTTGAATACTAAAATTATTTAAGGACCACATACCAGCGCGACGCCATTTGCCAATCAGTTGCGAGACTTACCGGAAGCTGGAGCACGGATGTATGACCCAGTGGCCGGACGCCTTCTGACGTATCCTCTCTTTCATAAGGGCCTTCTTCGAGCCGAACAGCTTCATCGCGAGCTTGTTGTCGGTGGGCTGGAACAGGGCCTGCAGTTGGTTCTTGAGGAAGCTCTGCTTGCCCGCCTCGACGGAGCCCAGCGGCGTCGGACCGGGCTCCTCTTTTGGGGTGCCATACAGCGAGCCATCGTCCACACCGAACGTCACTTTGCTGCCCTTGTAATTCATGTCGTTGGATAGACAGTCCGCTATAAGCAACGTTTCGTCATCTAGCGCGGTCACCAAGCTATCGGTGCACGTGTTCGTGTTCTCGATGCTGATCTTGATCGAGTCATCCTTGGCCAGGCGGCGCGGCGGCGGCGACCTGATCTCTTCTTCCGACTGGGCCGCTGCCACCCGCCCGTTCGCTAGCCGCAGACTGGGCACGCGTCGGGAGCCGGACCGCCTCTCGCAGCCGACGCCGCCGCCGCCTCCCTCGCCGCCACCCCCGCCACCGTCTCTGAAACAACGAAAGACGAAACGTTACCACGTGGTCGGCCACTGGTTGCGTCAGGAGGCCGGTTGGGGGTAAAAGCTCCGCGACCAACTTTTTCCTAGTGGAAATAATTTATAATCCCAGGATAAGACCGGCGATTTTGCGACAAAAGTTCGGATTACAACCCGAGAACGGCGGTTGCTGTTTTCGAAGATTTCTAAGTACTAGGTGAGTGTAAATTGAGTGGAGCCAAAATGGAAAAAAACATAAACCATCTATCCATAATCCTATATACCTGGTGGCACAAGAAAGTGGGAACACTCTATAACTTTGAAATTTGGAAGGGTTAATATAGGCTGAATGTTCAATTTTTTGACAATATGTAGTCAATGGTTGCTCTTCCGGTTTGAGAGGAAAGACTAACTTTCGAATTTTAAATGACACAACCTTTTCTTTGCATTTTTGGATTCAGGAGATCATTCTACTTAGGATAGGACGGTTTTTCTCTTTTTTTTGAGTTTTTTAAAATTTCTATTTAATTTTTGAAAATTGTGTCTAGGAGGCTGTGGCCATCATAAATACTATTTACCTGGTCACCTGATCATGTAAATTGAAAATGAAATTGTAAATGAAACTTTTAATTTTTTAGGATAACTAGGTTTTTCAAATAGCATGCTAGTGGGAATAAAAACTTCTTAAAATCGGTACTTTTTTGCAACATTTTGAGACCAAAATTTTCAAAATCCGTTAAAAAATAAGCTCACAATAAGAGAAAAATCAGATAATAAGTAGGTATATACATTTTTATAAAAACAAAATATTACTTAGGTGGCTTTCATCTGATAGTTTGTACATTTTTATCCGATTATCGATTTTGTCGTGTTATCGATTTGGATTATCATGCAAAATCAACGTAAATCCAGTTGCGTCGCCAAGAGAAGTGGCATTAGAATTAGACATCTCAAGAGCATCTGTGACAAGATTGTTATCATTCTTTTAAGTATCAAAATATTTATGAAGCTGACTTTGTAAGAAGACTTCGATATTGTAATTGGCTGTTAGATAAATATGACGAGAATAATAATTTCGTTAACTTAATTTTGTTCACTGGTGAGTCACGATTCTCAAATAATGCGATGTTTAACCGACAGAACAACAGATAGTGGGCTTTAAATAATCAAAGAATTATTCATCCCGAACAGTTTCAAGAACGGTTCCGAATCAACGTTTGGGCAGGAGTGATAGGAAAGCGAATTATTGGAGCTGTTCTTTTTTTGACGACTCGTTAGATGATTTACCTCTTGACATTATATATGTATCTTCAGCAGAATGGCAAGCCTCCCTATAATTTTAGAGATATCACTGAGCACCTACGTGATGTTTATGGAGATAGACTAACACACGGTCCAGTCAGCTGACCTGCATGTTGACAGGAATTGGCACCATTAACTCCAGTGTCCGACCTACAACATTGGGGAGAATATCGGCTGCATTTGATAGTATACCTCGAGAAATGTTAGGAAGGGTGTCGTATACAAGAAGGAGGACATTTTGAAAACATTCTATGAAAGTTTCATCTTGAAATAAATTGGTTATTAAGTACATATCTGTCGCACTTATTTAATTCAAATAAATACAAAACTCCAGTTGTCTTACTTGTCTTACAGTAACACAAGTTGATATACCACTTTCAAATCGATTCTACAGACAGGTTTTATTTTCTAACAGATTTTCAAAATATTATGTTGAATTATCCCAAAAAGTGACAGATTTCGAAAGACAAAAAAATATTTCAATTCTCTTATTCTTCCGGTAAAAAGTGCTTGCAGCTTATGACGTACGTATGCATACAATACTTACGTTAGTTTTTGGCTGTATCCCCGTATTCCAAAAGCATATCAACTTTTTACCATAATAAAACACTTTAAACAAAAAATTCTAATCGTTGAATCTCAGAAGAATCTCTCCGTTGAATTTTTTTTTAAATACCAATCTGTTTTTATTCCATTGCATGAGCTTGTCGAGAGTTTCTTTTGAATTTTTACCTTACCGACTTGACAATTAATAATGAATACCACCTAGTAAAATGTATTTACTTATTTGTTTTTCTTTTTAAAATTAACATGTCTACCTAAGAATATAATTAAGAATCCATCAAGTGAGAGGTGGAATATTGTAGTACAGCACATTTTAAGAAATGCAGATTCTTACATTTGCATATAAACTAACACAGAGCCCATTATAATTAACTTTAATGACCACTGTGAGAGTGAAACAGATTAGAATGTGAATAAAAACGTTTTTATTTAGGTAATTATTTAAAATAGGTATAGATTTAGTGTGGTCATATTTTCTACTAGTACTAATGTGATTTTATTAGACATAACATAATATAACTATTAATCTTCATATTTTTCAAAGACTTTAAAAGTCCGCCCCTGATACCCTGTCCTACAATAGCGAAAATCCAGATACTATATCCATTGAGACAAAAAAGCCAAGAGGAAAGGAGCATTATAAGCATTATAATGATTAGATTGAGAGTCTGAAGAAGATGCTACTGGATACTATCTCCTTTCTCTAACATGTTTGTGAGAATTTTGAACAGGAAAATTGGCACTGACTTAACTTAAAACGCTGTATTAAACTTTACTTTACTGCCGAAATAAGCGACTACTCCATTGAGAAAATGAGAAGGGGATAGGGACATTTTGATATTTGATTTATTAAATAACCTGGTTTATTTGTTACAAAAAACATTACAGATAGATGTTGACAGATTCCCACTAACAGCAATATAGAGCTAATGAATTGAAACCAAATAACCAAATCGTCATCTAGAGATTAAAACAAAGATCCATATTATACTTTGAAATCGTTGTCTGATCACCTTTATGTCATACCCCAAAAATATCACACAATAAGCACTAACTGGCAAGATTCCAGCCGATATATCCACCTCCCTACGCTGTTAGCTGGGTCCAATTCTTTGTTAAAACGATATTTGGTAACTTCTGATTTCAAATTAAAAATGAACTATATTTATTTCATCGTAAGTCAAAGCGCAAAATCTTTATTCGATAGCCTTTCCGACATCCTTAATATGCATAATCGGCTTTAAATTGACACTTGACAGATATTAATTTAAGATAAAATCTTGATCTCTAAGAAATTTTGAACAATCCTATAAAAATAATTCCACAAGTCGTTAAGTGGTTATGTCCCATTTTAAATAATAGGGAAACGTCACCAAGCCACCACTAGCCAAGATTGCAAAAAATTAAGAGAAATTTAAGAGAAATAAGATAAGATTACACAATAAAATAGCACAAATTTTCGAAACAATAAAAATACAGGAAAATTGAGAATATGCATACCTATTAAAATTCAAAATTAAGATGATAAAAGCATTTTTCTACTCTCGTCTGTAAAATACCTAATTACGCACTAGCACGCGGGAAGCGTCATTTTACCACCTCAGTTTCGTTTCCCACGAATCCGAGCCACTTCGGACAATTCCAGGATTTTACCGCACAAGTTTGAGAGCAATCGGATGTTTTCGGAGATATTTGACGGTCATGTCAGTGAATATATTCGTACTGTTTTGCGAAAATGTACCTAAAAACTAACAATCGTAGAAAAAGTATAGTATGCAACACGTTCGGTAAACTTTTTAAGTCACTCGTTTAGTAAACACTCGCTCCGCTGAGCTGCCGTTTACCGCACTTGTTGCATAATATACTATTGTGCTGTAAGTATACCGATCGATCACCTCTCGCTTAAATTCCTTCATTTTCAACCCCTATTATGCTGCTAGGCAAAGATTTTTTTTTACCGCTATAACATAAGCCTTTTTCAAAAAAAGTTGAGTTGTGTACAGGCGCTGTTCATGGTAACTAGTCGTAATCGAGCGTAAAAGTCAGAGTTGATGTTGAGATTAGGGTTTTTGTTCACGATAATAACCAGTGACAAATAATATAAAGTCTTGGAATGCAGCTTGAGAATGCACCAAAAAATTCTCCTCTTGGTTATGAAATGCCAGAACACCAGAACAGTATACCATGACTCATCCCAAACCATGAAATCCAATATTGCACACAAGCACTGTAGATAGTTCTATATATATGAAAAAAGACTCTCTAAACCTACCAATCAGTGCCAAACGTTGTTTAGGCTTGAGCACAGATAAATTTAGTGCGGAGTCAATAATCATACCGAGGAATTTAATATTTTTGGCATTTGGAATTGATTTACAGAGAATAATTCTTAACTAATGACTCAAAAACAATAAGAATTTGGGTTCAACCTCAGATAGTTTTGTGTGCTCCATGCTTCCATCCACTCCACGACACACCAGGAGACATTTCATCATGGTACTGAGTGAGAAGCTCCCAAGCGAAGCCATCCGGAAGCTCATTCACGTACATCCACTACACAGAGACTAAAGGACTAACATTGAGGCCAGAGGTCTCTGAGCATTTTTGGTCCTTACAACTCACAAATTTTTAAGGTCCTAGACAGGTATAAGTATAGATCAGCAACCTTCTCCTTTTTGTCGACTTTTTCTGCTATAAGTTCAATTCTCTGAAAAACGATTTGCTGACAGTCTATAGGCGATGGAGCCAAAAGTTGTATACAAAAGTTAATTAAGGTATTACAAATCTTCTTTTTATTTGAATGTTGTATATACAGGGTGTCTAATTTTTCGTGGGCAAGTATCAACTTTAGAATAAATGGAACACATGGTATATTACTTCATTTTTAAATTCTATACAAAATTCTAGACAAATTTTTAATTATATATTCGAAAAATGACGATTGCAATACGTAAAATATCTGCCAATTTCTTCATTCGGAAGCATTTATTGTTTCAGTTGAGTAAGTTTTGTTGTAGGCAATGGACTCGAATAACGGATTGCATAAGAAATTTCGATACATATTAATACAGGGTACGTGAAAAATAAGATTAAAAATAAAACAAAAAAAATTGCCAAAAAACTTTTTTTTAAATAGAATCTCCCTAG